GATAGAAAAAAATTATTTAATTTATTCCAACTAACTGAAAACTATTCATGCAATAAGGAAAGAAATATACACAGTATATATACCTCTCAAATGAGGTAGCAAAAGTGAATCAACAGATGAGTCTAAATGATATAAGGGTCTGAGGATGTGACTCCAAATCAGTAAACAACAGGTGACCTGACAGCAGACTACTTGTACACTACCTCTTAGCCCAGCATTACAAATTAACCTGGGTAACTTTTCTGTTGACATAGAGCATACAACATGCAGTTCATGGTAACTTTATGCCTTTACACCCAAAGGGGCAGGGCAGGTAATACCTGACCTGATATAATGCTTATCTGCATAATGTCAAAATATATTGACAATATGTACAAAACAATGAGTATATACTTGGAACCAGCTAAGTTGTTTTACACCAAATTAGCACTTCTGTGTCATGCCCACAAGAACTCCACAACAGTCTTAATCCAATGCCATGAGCCCTGACTCACGTTAATGTATGCTTCACACAGACTGAGAGTCATGGAGCTCAGCGACTCCTGGCAAAATCCAGACTATGTGAAGACCAGTAAGATTTTTAGGTTAGCACACTAGTCTGGACAACAGAAGTGCTTCCAGTGCCCAAACTAGCTCACTGTGACATTAGCAGATGAGACGGCTGCCGTAAAAATGAAAATTACGTTTTTCTTCCTCTTGTGCACTATGATCTTACTACTACATCATTCTCAGTCCTTAAGTAATAGACGACCGTGAAAACTGACTGCTTGGCCTCTTTTTTTTTTTTCTCCTTCCCAAAATGCAAGATGTGACATGTCATTTTAATAACAGATTTTGCTTCTGTTAAAAGTAAGAAGTAGCACGGTAGGATTGTTCCCTATGAATCGCCACTCTTTAAAAATGAAAAATAAACAAAATTGTTTAATTCACCTTGATAACCATTGTTATCTGCATCAATGCCACTTGCTATGGATTGTCCAAACATGTTTAAAGAACTACTGACTTGATGTCCTTCTATTCTCTGAGGAGGAAAAAAACAGAAGAGAAAATTATTCTCGGAAAGCTAATCTTTGAGTTACAATATCCAAGGAAAAATGTTAGCACAACCATCCTGCTGCTGAAGGCAGTTACCTGCTTACTGTGAAAGTATACCTCTGAAAGTAATATTCCTCAATTACTGCAAATGTTATATCCCATAAACCCCCTCTGAGGCCTCCAAAACAATTTATTTTTCTGTTACAGGTTATATTATGACTGGAAATCAGACTATGCAAAAAATTTCTGAAGTCTTTTACAGTACCTCAGATGGTCTAAGTATTAAATGAAGGGAAAACCCTCTTGAATTTAAACTTACGGTTTTTCTGGATTGATCATTTTTCATTGAAAAAGCGTACCTGTGAAAATGATGGCATTATTCCATCTTCCCTGCCATTGTATATATAAATAACCCCTTTTAGATTATCTTCTTGTGGAGCCCCAATTGCTACATCTGTGGAAAAACAATTTAACAATAATCAGTTGACTAGGAAACACGAACAAGGAAGAGTTAAAGAAATCCATATCATGATCCATACAATGCCAGACCAGATTTATTTGACTGAATTCAAAAGAAATGCTGAAGACAGATATAAAGCAAACGGAAACAATACAGACCAGCTCAGTAATCTGACTCTGCCTTAAGTACTATGTTTTTGGGCCAAATACAGCCATTTTGTTCAAGAAAAAGTCTGTTCCTACCAATACTGAATTTGACGGTTAAGAGGTTATCATGGAGAATAGCCAAAATTATCATGGTATTTTTAAAAAAAAACAAAAAACAAAAAAAGCAAAAAAAAAAAAAAAAGCCAAGCCTTGTATTCATGGAATTATGATGATTTTCCTGCACTCTGCTATTCCCACATGGATTAAATCAATGAAACATAAGAAGTACTCTTATTACGCTGCCCAAAATGAACCATTTATTTTTCTATGAAATGTCCTTAACAGCTAATAACAGGCTTGAACAGGCATTTAACAAGGAAATGAAGGTAGCTGGTTTGTACAAGGGGTATGTTTTATGCTGAGATGATTTAATCCCAGGGGAGTGTGGTGACACATAAACAAAGCAACCAACGAACCCAGCCACCCACCCACTCTCAACAGCCCTTACCAAAAAGCCCCATGGCTTTTCAAATGGCCAGAGGCTGCTAACCAAAAAGTGGTGGGCAGGGGAGGGGGAGATGAATGACATCATCTTGAAATTCACTAATATACATTCATAATTGTGAACTTTCATTCACAAATAAGCAAAACTGAACTATCTTTAAATCGGAAATACTGTATGCTGCACCTGTCTCTCTACTGGTGAGATGAAAATAGGACAACCAAGTTGTGCTAATTAAAATTACACATATGTTCTTGAGGAGGTCAGATTCTGCACCAACACGTATGCCATTATCTTCACAGGGCCGATACTGATGGTTTAGATCATTGAAGATGTTAGGTCTGCTGTGCTTTTTTATAACTTACTACAGACAAATGGTTTCTAAAACCCAATTTCTCTTTATATTTTGCTTCCAGCTGTTTTTCTTACAAAATTTCTTTTCCTACTGATGCTCTCAATGTTGCGTCCACTTTTTCTTTTCAATGTTTTTGCTCCCTTCAAAAGCCAATCCACTTGCTTGCTCCGCCTCCCCCTGCAGTTTTAGGATGCCCGTTTTACATTATATTCCATGTTGTACATCTACATTGCTATGCTGCTATTAATTTGATTTTACTTCTCTGTTTCCCAGACTTACATTTGGATATGGTTTTCCTTTGCAGTTTGCAAATGTTTTGGGGCAAAACCTGAAACTTGTGTATAAAACTGTGAAGGTAATGGAAAACAGAAGAAACAAAATTTAACAAGAGTTCGAGGAACAGGTACCAAAGGGGGAAAAACAAAAAGACTACTTTAAGGAAAAGGAGACCAGATAAGAGGGGAATGACTATTCCAAGCTTTGCAGGTTATGGAACAGGACCAAGAATACAAGACAAAGGGAAGAGTGAAAGGAGAACTCTGGATGGTAACTGTAAATAAAAAGGGTAATTCAGAAGCGTGAAGACAGACGTGGACCTGTTAAAGAAACAGCCCAGAAAAAGCTGTCAGGATAAGGATATCAGCTCCCTGCATACAGTCCAAATTTTGATGGAAAAACTGAAACTGTTTATGAATTTTTGAACGGTAGAAAATGCCTGTCGTATTTTTATCCTGTCCCTACACAGCCTCATGTGCCTGCTTTCCTGCCCTTCTGCTGGAGGGGAGCACGTGCCAGATTTTCAGACAGGAATACTGGCCATTCCTATTTGTTTGAAACCATGACAAGATGAATGAAGCCACTGGGCCAGTCCCCTCTGCTTGGCTTCAGTCTAGCCAGAGGCCTCCCAGTCGGCTGTGTTTTTGCAGGCTACCTAAACAGCTAGTGAATGGTCTTGGAAGGAAAGAAGCTGAGAGCAGTAGACCATGGGGCTTTCTGTAGCAAATATATTTTAGGCAGCCTGACTGGAAGCAGAGGGGAAGTAGAAGGCCATGAGAGTCATTCTAGATGTTTTAACACATCTTACATTCTTTCATCTGATTTCTTTAACTAAAATACCTTTTATCTATGACTTTCACATGGCATTCTCTTTTCAGTGTCTATTCCTTTTATGCTTATTACAGAAGTTAGACCCAAGTCTGGAGACTGAGTCTCTCTGCCCTCTGAGCAGGTTCCACCTGAACAACACCAATGGAAATTTCAGCCCATATCTCATCATATTTACAGATGGTGTTTCAGCCTGGGTGGTGGGGAAGGAAGGGAGGATATTCTCAGTTTCTGTTTAGGCATCTAACTTTATGTCCCTGAAATAGATCCTCCTGTATAGACAACAGGAGCCTCATTAACATTTTGAATTCGCTATCAAGGCATGGCCATCAAAGTCCTCCCCTGTGTTCTCCATCCTAGCCCCACTGGGAGCCCATGCTAGGCAATTCATGAGTCATCTGAGGGTTTGCGTGGGAAGTAGTCCCACAATAGTCTCCTAACCTGCAGGTTGTTTTCCCTATCCCCATGTGTTTAGTACTTCGTATTGGTGACACAGAAGCAGATCTTGACTAAATGTGTAATTTTTACTTATGATTTTAAAAAATTGCCAAATTGTTCCCCAGCCATTGTCTCAGATGTCTAAAACAGGATTAGGGATTCCACTTGAGGTCCAGCACCCAAAGTTACAGACTGTGTTATCACCTTATGCTCATACATTTATTAAAGCGACAGAACCTCATCTCTTGATATTACACATCAATGACTGTGAAACAGCTATATTTCAAATCAGTGGCCCAGAAAAGAAAGGTCAGGTCACCAACTGAAAGTCTTCTCAGACTTCCATAAACCTCCTGTTTATTGTGACAGTCCACTGCTCAGAGAGAATTAAACCCCAAGGGTTGTTTTTTTTTTTTTTTAATATGCTTACCTTCAAAACCATCATTATCAATGTCTCCTAGATTGGCTATGGACTCTCCAAACCTGGCTGCATATGAGTCACTCCCGCTGAGCTCAACGTTCAGTTCCACCATCTTTGCCTCCTGAAGGAAATCAGAGTCGATAGCACATTAACAAAGCGTCTTCCAGGTGATCTGGAATATTACTCAAAATGTTAAAACTGCCTTGGATGCCAATATATAATCCTATTGAATTCCTTGGTGCAGAAGCGAGCATTAGCAAAGATACTTAACAGTATTTAGTATAATAATAATAAAGAATAGGGAAGTTGTTCTTTAAGAAAGAAAACAGCAATGTGTTCCCATAGCAAACACCTGTAAACAGCAGCAAGCTTGTATCAGAATACAGGGGCTTACTGCTCTGTGAAAACTGTGTTTGCTAAAAAGGTAGTCAACAGTAGCTGCTTCAAAGCTATCGTGTGTGCCCTAGTTACTTGTAGGTATCCTGGAGTGACTTAGTTCTCTGTGAGGAAAACATGTTCACAAAATGTTAATTACAAGCATAAGAGAACAAATATGTATTAGTGGAGAGGAAGGAAGGGAAGTAAGATACGAAGACAAAATTTACAAAGCCAGACAAATTCAAAAGCACACAAAAAATAGTGATTATGCTTTCACTTCTATTCCTTAAAAAGAATAAAAAGAAGCTAATTCTTATGCATGATCTGTCCAGTTACTTTATTTGCCAAACTGAGGGCTACCAGTCTCTTTCCTGAATTGTACCACTAACTGCATGTAAATTTTTCATTCCTTGTTTGTTTTTGAAGTGCTAAATAAGTTGCTTTTCACATGCCAGTTCAGTGGTAAGCATGGTAATGGAGGAGAGCTTGCAAACAGGCTGTAGTGGCAGGCTGTCACCACCTGAAGTTACTATGAAACAAAACCAGTCTGTCCTCAGTTCTAACACTAGCGTAAGTAACAACGCATTACAGTTTATACAGGTAGCCTTTGCAGGTGTGCCACACAGTCCTGCTGGGATTGTCATCGCGGTTCTAAAGTTGTTTTTCCTATAGCCTGAAATACTGTATGATACGAGAGAGGCTTGTTATACTAGAATAACTGTGTTACCATGTGTTTTTAAGAGAAAATACTTACAGAACCTGAATTGATATAGACATAAACTCTTCCTTCTTCTCTGATGGTACTTTGCATTGGAGCACCAACTAGCAAGTCTGAGAGGCCATCTGAATTCAGGTCCACAGCACAAACTGCAGCTCCAAAGTAAGAACCAAGCTGTGTGCAAACAAGAAATCACATTATTTCTGAATTTTGATGAAGACATGCTAGAACTTCTAAGGTGCAGAAAAGTAGTATGAAAGATTTACCTTTTTACCCCTTAGTTCAAATAGAATATTGAGTTGCTTCTCAATGCTAAAAATGTATGCCTAAAAAGAAAAGAAAATGTAAGTGGAGTTGAGCAAACAGTAATCTGAAATACTTTCCTGTGCTTTCTCTACAGCATGTGCTAGAGAATCAGGAAAGCAACACACAGTATCACAAGGTACAGCTATTTACTATTTCCTATCTGTACCTTTCTTTATCATCATAGTTCACAGCAATGTTATCCAGACTATCTTCCCTCATTCCTTCTTTGACTTTTCTCCCCATAAGAAATCATATATATCTCATACTTGTCTTTAATACGTTAATCTAAATTGGAAAATCATGGGTGGGAATGTGGGGGTATATTTTTCAAACCAGTAGTATAGACAATCTCTTACTTTACCAGTCTGTTCCTGTTGGGGAGCCCCTCCAATTACTTCTGTACTGGCTGATGTCAGAAAATGCCCAGCTCCAACAGAATATCCTGTAAATTAGAAATGCACTATTCAATACTGTAAGTGCTATATAAAGAAAAAAAAAAATGGGAGCATGACGTATAAAAGCTGTCAACACCACAAATCACTGAGAGTCTGACATTCAGACCTCATGCAAGTTAGCAATGAAAACAGAAAAGAAAATTTTTGAAATATAAGCAAAAGGTCAATACAAACAGTAAGTTCCAGCAAGCAGAAACAAGTGTCAGAAACACTCATTTCTTCCCAGGATCTCAATTATCTGCCATACTTTAAAAGCAACTGCAAACACCTTCTGTTAATGCATATTCTACAATTGTTCCATATTGTAACACAAATAAAAACGATCAAATGTCCATACAGTGCAATGTGGAAACACTTGATTCAATTGTTACTCTTTGACTATTGTTGTAACTGGACTGCAGAAAAATGAAATGTAGTGCTACTTATATGCACCTGCACATATACACACACACACACATAGAGCATCGTGGATATACACATACGAAAATGTCAGGAACAAATTGGAGCAAAAGCTTGATTATGTAGTAAGAAAACATTGCATCAGCTTTTGTAAATGAATCTACGTAACAAAGTATTTCTGTATGGGGAGACAGCTCTGAACAAACAGGACCATATTTTGGTGCAGACGCCCAGCCACAGAATTGCAAACTGAAGGCTAACACCTTAATCTGCAGCTACACAAGTCATCCTTACTCCTTCCAAAATACATTATGGTGAAATTGAAACAGGGAAGACAGTTAACATATTCTGCTACTCTTGCATTTACTGAATGACTGTTGATTTTCGCAGCATACAGAGAAAATGGAAAAATCATCTTGGATCAGATGAGAATGAGCCTTAAATCTTTCATCTGTGAAGACAACCGTCTAGAATTCAAGTTCTCATTAAGCCAGCTTTTTCTTTTCATATTTTAAGCTAAAAGAGGTGCACAAGGCAATTCATCATTTAAAGGTCAACACCTAGTTTTTATTTATTCAACAAAAAATTAAGCTTAAGTGGATGAACCTTAATTTACCTCCTCTGACCTTTATTTTTTAGTTATTTTGGTTTTGCTGAAGTGTAAACATTGGTAATTCTAATGAACTTTTTTTTTTTTAAAAAAAACCCAACAAAACCCCAAAGAGCTAAACACACTAAAATAAAGTATAGTAATGAGATAGTCCTCATTTTTACTGTGGTATTAAAATATTTGGCTGGGGTGATCACATAATTGACCCTTTAAATTTAAAGGCATAGTCAAATGAAATTTTATTTCCAGCCCCTGAAATTCTATCCTCTTTACCGTCACTACAGTTTTTCAGTTCAGTTTTCTTAAATATAATTTGCTGTTCTCAGATTCCTAAAAGAAACTATCTATTACTTTGTGATTTCTTTAAGGCAGTTTGTTAAGTGCCTAAGGTTACTCTTTCATCAGGATCAGCTGATGAAAGACTGACTTATCTAATTCCTTTTAAAGAAGTCAGTTATTAATCTCCAAGATACTCTGAAGTAGTCAAGGAAATACTACTAAACATTATGTATTATCAGCTTCTTCTTCTAACTTTCTTCTTTCTTTTAATTGTCTGGTACTTACACACCTTTTATTTCTTCCAACTTATGGAAAATGTTACAATACTTTTGCACACTCTTCCTCCAAACTCTAATTTGCTAACTATTACTCTTTGACAGTTTAATGAAAAATGTAAATAAAGAAGCCAACTTCTCAGTCCCTGCCAGAAGAAGGATAGTGTAAGCAGACAATTATGTCTAGTCATGTGCTTGAATTACACTCTGGTCTCAATATACTTCCACCACTTGGTAAGGATATTTTTGTTCATCATTTAAGGGAGAGGCAAACTCGGTCTTAAAAAAAAAAAAAAAATCTTTGGTTACAGAATTAACCCTAAGTAGATTTTGGCCTTAAACAATGCCAAAGATGGGACAGAACAGAAGCTGAGGGAGGGGAAGGAAGGTACCTTCACATTCTTTCAACCATATTATGTATTATTATGAGGGAATGAAGTGGAGGTTTAAGTAGCATGGAACAATGCAAAATTTAAGGTTTATCACAGTTGCTACTGTAGAGACACACAGATGAGCCAATGGTCCCTTTCTTCACTTTCCTGCAGAAAGGGCAAGTTTAGAGAAGACATGGCTCTGCCAAGCTAGCGTGCTGGTCACTGGAGAAGTGTTTGTGAAGCAAACTCCAGCAGATCTCAGGTCCTGGATGGCCAAAGGAACTAGGAGAGACCACACATGTGCGGGAAGGCTTTCCCTGCGTCCTCCCCAGCACAGTCCTTGCGCAAGCTTTTACCCGTTGGCCTATATCTGGCTTTTGGCTATCAATGACTTGACTCACTCGCTACAGAAATTCTCACTCTTATACTTGTAGGAGCAGAAATCTGGAATGAGCTTTTTTCCCCAGATAGGTGCAATACTTTTTCTGCTGATTATTACTGGAAAGCTGGAGCAAGCATTCTCTGAAGTTTTTCATTTGTCCTATGAAAGGTTAGAAACGTTACTGGTTAACCATAGTGATCTGGGCATCTGATCACCTTTTACCACCCAGCATTTCTTTTGCTTGACTTTCCTGCAGAGCCCAACTCCAGCCTTTGCAAGGCTCAGTACTGAACTCTGAAGTGTTGGCCACTTTGTATTTCATAACGTATGCCTGCTTCCTATTGTCAAAAGAGTGGAATCAGAAACAGGAAATGTTTATCCATGTGAACTGGATCTATGAATGGGAAAATGCAAAACCAAATGGTCACAGGCAAAAATATTCTTGCTCAGGAATTCAGGAAGGACAGACGAACTTTTCTTAGTGTGTAGTGAGAAAACTGAAGCTGCTGATGGTTCTGGCATAAACCCCTACAAATTCTAGCACTAAATCCAGCTAATTATTTAGCTGGATATAGATACATGAGTAGGAGCTTCATGGCTTTCTTTGCAGACATTCGTAGATAAGGTTTACCTTCCCATGTATCCACATCAAGATACGGTTGGAATAAAAAAAAAAAAAAAAAAAAATCATGATTGGAGGCAAGTCTGTCTCTCAAGATCATAGCATACTTCCCCTTATTGACAATGCAATTACAACTTGTTTTCTTGCAGCTTTCATTGTAACCAACTTTTCAAATTTCTGTTATATGTGAAATCATTATGTCTTTTGCTATGAAAGCCCTTGGTAGCATTTCAGACTTAACAGTGAAGTGCAAACCATTACTAACCAGAAGCATATCTCTACCTTCTAAATCAAGAAATGATAGAAACTCAAGTGGAGAGATGGTAAAAACAGAAATCCAATGTTTAAGAAGCTTCCATGTAAAAAGAACAGAGGCGAAGCCTTATAATTAAATAATACTTAACAAAATCAGAACACATCTTTAGAATTGTCACTTCTGGGATTAATAAAGAAAGCACTGATAAACACTGTGCACTCACTTCAAGATCAGCTATTTAGCTAATTCTTTGACTTGTATTTTTGCAAAGTATTAAATATTATTAGGTACCTAGATAACTGCCAAATTTCACTTGGTTATTTGAATCTGTATAAGCATGGATTGTATTTGCAGTTGTATTGTATACAAAAACAGAACCAGTCCAATAAAATGATCCAGGGGCTCCCATTATAATTAAGTCCTGAAAGAAAAATAAAACAAAGCCATGTTATTCATATATAAATATTCATGAAGATAAGCAAAACAAGTCAAATACTTTTCTTTAGATCTCCTGTGAACTCAATGAAATGCTACTGAAATGCATCTGGCTCAGTACTGCGGGATTACCACTAGATCACATCCAGCATTTTTCAGACTTCGTAAAAATATGGTTATTAAAAACTTTGAGCTCTGAACAATTTAAAAGTGAGTAACAAACAGGATATTCTCTCCTCAAAAGAGTTTTTTAGAAATCATAATCTCAGGGTGAAATGGAAATTAAATAATACAGAATACTACTCTATAAAGCAAGAAGGTAAGCGTCATTAGTCTTAATGTTACATCAAACAGATTACTTTAAAGAGAATAATAAAACTTCATATTCTGTTACATTCATGCTCTTTTTTCCAGATGAAAAGTAATTTTGGATTTAGTAAGGTGTAAAAGTATTCTTGGGAATAAAAAGTAAAAGTATTAGTCGGGAATTATCATGCAAGTCTTATCAAGATTCAATTAAAAAGAAATGGGAAAAGTCTGTTTTTTCCCTCCCACAAAAAAAGACAGTGTTAATGTTTGCATTTACATATACACTTTTATGTATGTATACGTATATGTAAGTGGAGGGGGAGGGGAGAGAGAGAGAGAGAGAGAAAGTTTGGTATCTTTAATACACACCTCAATGTAAAAACTAGACATTCCAGCCTGGCACGACCCATGGTTTTCTCCAAACTTTCGCACATGATCTGGGAATGAGCAAGAAATATTAAAAAGGATGAGAAGCATGCAGTTTCACAATTTGTTACCAGGTCTTCAACAGAAGTTGAGACAAGTTAAAAAGACAAAACAAAACAATGCTGGTTTTCAGTTCTGTAATAAAACTAAAAACACTGGTTTCCACTGTGTAGTCTTTAGCTTCAATAGTATTGTAATTACTACAATTAGTATTGTAACAAACTCAAAGCATTATGTATCACTTGATCACAGCTTCCTTTCTAATCTTGTGACTTTAAAGGCTCTAGGTTTCTTTTTAAATTGTTCCATGAATGAAATAGCACAAATAGTTTGAGCAGCAAAGCTAGATAAGCTTAACTCTTCTCTTCCACTCCGTATAATTCAGGTGCTGGAACGTGTCCAGAGAAGGGCAACGAAGCTGGTGAAGGGCCTGGAGCACAAGTCTTATGAGGAGCAGCTGAGGGAACTGGGGCTGTTTAGCCTGGAGAAAAGGAGGCTGAGGGGAGACCTCATCGCGCTCTACAACTACCTGAAAGGAGGTTGTAGCGAGGTGGGGGTCGGTCTCTTCTCCCAAGTAACGAGCGATAGGACGAGAGGAAATGGCCTCAAGTTGCGCCAGGGAAGGTTTAGATTGGACATTAGGAAAAACTTCTTTACTGCAAGAGTGGTCAGGCCTTGGAACAGGCTGCCCAGGGAAGTGGTAGAGTCACCATCCCTGGAAGTATTTAAAAGACGTGTAGATGAGACGCTTAGGGACACGGTTTAGTGGGCATGGTGGTGTTGGGTTAACGGTTGGACTTGATGATCTTAGAGGTCTTTTCCAACCTTAATGATTCTATGATTCTATGATTGACAGGCTTACATTTCTAGCTAGGAGTTGCCCTGATGCTCCACTAGTGCTCTGAAGGGCTTGTGTTATGGCTATCTTAGACATATTGGTATCTACCATCCTTAGCAGTTGTCTTTACATCCAACTCTCCCACCTCTGTTTTCCTGCTTTTCTTTGCTAACTGCCTCCCATCAGAGTTCCCTTCATCTCATCCATAGATTTGTTCATTCAAAAAGTCACTGAAGATAAAAGCATGATTTCACCAATGCTCGTAACAGTCTCCGAAGCCAGCAGCGGCATATTTGATGCGTTACTCTATCGGTCTGCACAGAAAGGCCAGACCACCGGCTCTTCCTTGCATTGGCAAGGGGCAGGGTCACGAGATCATTCTCCTGGCTGGGAGGGAAGTATGAAAGGGAAGGCAGGGATGGACTTGTTTGATAGCTTCAAGTCTTGACCCTTATTCTGCTCCAGCCCTCTGCGGAAGGACCACTGAAGGTCTCATACCACAGCAGCGGCCTTGGCAGGAGGCAAGTAAGGAACAGGGACACACACATTGTGTCGTGGAACTACAGCAGCTTTTTATCAAAGGCTAAGGGGCGGACGGCAACAATCGCTTGCAGGTATTACTGCTGCTCTGGCTGTGAGGCACTCTCCTGAACACAGCAAGCAAATGACAGAGTAAAGGAAGGAAGGATGTCCTCTACTGGCCTATTTTTGAGAAGCACATATCCTTCAGTGATGCAGTCCAAGGAGCAAGTATTCTGATGTCCTATTTAAACTAATTTTTTGCCTGTTGAAAGTAGCTTTTCTTTGAAGTGATAAACAACTTGCTAACAAATTTACATCATAAATTGGGCTTGTATCATCAACACTCAGTCTTCAAATCTTTGGCTGCAGAAAGCCTCCTCAGGGCAACACAGGCTCTTCACAAACTCCGCACCATGCAATTACGTATCTTACCCTTCCCTACCAAAGGACCCAAGCATTCTGCTTACCTATATAGCATGGGCATATTCTTCTGCTCAGTTCAGTTCGAAAATCAGAAGAGACGGCAAAACAAATACCGTATGGGAGTTTGTGTTCATTTTTTATGTAAAAGACATTTTTCCATCTATGTCCACAAGCCTATGGATAAAAAACAAACATGGCATTTGACACAGAAGCATAAGAAAGGTGAAGGCAGTCTGACAAACAGACACGCAGCTCCAGCGGTTAATACATACAACGATAGATCCATTTTCTTTTGGCTGCCTCGATAAGCTGACACCCAGCCACTGGTTATCACACTCTTCCAAACAAGCATTCCCACAGCGCTCTCCATTGGGGTTGCCTAAAACACAAAGACCAATGCTCTGAACAGGGGGACAAGCTGAAGGTCCACATGGTGGGTAACAGGAGCACCCAAGAACCCTACAGTTAGATTGCAGTAACTCAGGTTTGGTGGACCTGACCTCTCTCTCTGTCTTACATAGACCACGTAGACTTTCCACTTCCTTCTTGAACAAAGGTACGACTGCATGTAGCCACAGGGAGCGTACCGATTCTGAACACGATAGGTTGGCAGTGAGGATTGGCTTCTCCATCCTTATTGAAATTAAAGATAGAAAGTGACATTACACTCAATCAGATGAAGGGCTGGCTTTGCAAGTGTTCTTCAGCCTAAAAGTTCATAAGAAACACAAGTAATACCCATGAGTGCTACCTAAACTCTAGCCTAAAGCAAGCATCTCTCCAACTACACATCTATTGGTAGCAGACCTTAAAATGATCTCTACTGCCAACAGCTATCAAATAAAGGGTGTATAATGCAGTCTCTACTGGCGATGTCAGCTCATTATGTGTGCATGCCCTGTGTACTCCTTGCACTGTTGCAATTATTTAGCAGTAGCTCTTTGGTTTTGTTCTTAAGGAGAGTTAATTTTTAAAACCTTAGAGAACAGTGAAATTTCTTTCAACTCCCCCAAGAGGCTACAGTATTGCCAAGTTAGCAAATATCTGCTTCCTTCTAGAAAGCAGTAGTGGCACCCATGGTAAAGAGAAGCTACACGTTTAAAAGTATTCTAAGTTATATAAAGCAAGCTTTTCATTTGCAAGATGTTTGTATGAATAAGCCTTAACCAAATCATTGAACGAGTATTTTCTATGCATCAGCACGACACAGTTTACGAAACTTCTTATAAAATAAGGAAACACGTATTGTCATCTGAACAAGCTCTTTTGCATGATTTTTAAGACTTTCCCAGATTCAGTGAAGTTACCGGTGAACCGGAAGCTGTTGAGGTTTAGGGGGTTTAGCTACCCATAAGAGGGCGCCAATCCAGGCCGCAGGGTACCGGCGCTGACGGGGACACGGGCTGAGAGGGAAATACGTGAATCAACACCCCCCAACACTGTGCTCGCACCAGAGCTGAAATTTATTACTGTCCAATGCATTAGAGACTTTAAATAAATACACTCCTAATTTAGCGGACTTGCCGAATTGCTTTCACAGGACATACAACTGCACAGTATTGATTAAGTATGGAAACAGAATAAAGGGATACACCTTGTCTATTTAGTATCCAGGAGAAAGATGAATGACTGTGGGCTTTGCCACATACATTCTCACAACCAACACTGACTTAACGATTTTATACCTAGGATGTCATGGACTTTTTAGAGAAAATACCAGATTAATGGTATCAAGACAATTCCTCATCACATGGTAAGAAAATGTCAGGAGAAGCATTTGTAGGAATAAAACCCAACCACCATCCTTATTTCAGAGCTTGCTGCCTACTGTTTTGTGACAGGCCTAGCAACTGACATTTTCCTGAAGAAACTGCCGGAGCCTTGATTTCTTCTACTTCCATACTCCCTCTCCACTTTTTCCAAACATCACGCTTTCTCCCTGCTCCGATGGAAAGACCGGACTGGTGCAGTCAGGAACCCCTCACCATACTGCAGAGAGGACGAGACACCCTGCACACTGCTACTGTACTCCACCTTCTTCCAAAAACAACACCCGCCACAGGGTCAAGAGGCATCTGACCCTCCTTCACCTCTTCTTTACCACTTCCTCCCCCATGTGCCTTTCCCTAAGACATCAAGGAAATAGTATGCAAAATCTAAGTAAACAGGAACCAACCTTAACACTTGAGTAACATCACATTCAATTGTCTTTGCGCCAAGAGATTTTATGTTACTGTAATTTAATAATTCCTGTAGGTCACCTGAGGAACAGTAATTAACAACATATGGGGTCTTACTCCAAGACAAGGATGAAGTAAAATGCCTTACTTTAAAAATCTACTAAAAAGTTGATTTTTCTGCAGATTGTCAGTTACTGAGGTTTCAGTGATAAGCTTCCGAATTCTCCTACTTGGCTAATGTCAGTGACATGAACTTCCACTTACTGCATTGTCCATTTTCAGACACAAGTTTGGAATTTAGTTTTGGAATTTAATTTGGGAGTTATGTCACGTAGAACTCCTCACTTCCTAAGGGAGACATTTCCATGGTTTGCATGAATTATAGAGCATGTTAATCTGATAGAAATCTCCTCAGAAAACAAAATTCCATTACACTCCCATGTGTAAGAATTAATTCTCCTTTAAACCAGAAAAGGCACTTCTGGTAACTCCCTTCCAGCAATGCTTTCCGTCCTCTTATGACAATGACTTACCTGGGACTTGCTTTACAGTGTATGTGGATTTGCAGGAAATGGAAGAAGTGGAGAAGACCACCGTCTTAGATCTCAAGAGGCTTTCTGAGGCTTTCTATCAGTAAGTCAAACAAGACCAGATAATAATGACGTAAGAGATAAGAGGAAGTTTTCTCGTCTCAGTGCTTCATCCCTGTGCCTATTTCAGAGGTCCGTAAGAAGAAAAAGCACCACCATTCATGCTTGTTGGATTGTATTCCCCTTTCCCTTGGCTCCAGCATACATTCTTGATTCAGGTTCACTTGGGCCCTCTGCTGACCCGCTATCTTATGTCTCCTCTCTTTCTCTGACTGGCAAGTATTCAACCACCTTGGAAATGATAGGCCTTTGTGGGGGAGGGAAGCATGAGCTTGACATCCCAGACACCGTGATGAGCCCCTGCTCAGGATACGACATTACAAAAGCTTTATTGAATGAGAAGAGGAAATGCTGTATTCTGCGCAAGCAACAGAGCAGCACTGCATCAGCTCAAGAGGACATGGCAGCTTGGTTGCCTCAGGGAAAAGGAGCACGTGCTGTCATAAAGTCACCGAGAGATAAGTAATTGCCCAGCCTGTGTACATTACACAGCTGGAAGATACACTCCTGCTATAATCCCCGCTGCACGCATCCACAGAAACAGCACAATCGCATATAAATAAGGTCACAACTTATAAAGCCACTTCTAGCTTTGGCCTCAAGGACTCTAATACAGATGTTTGCAATGTCATCTGAGAAACCAGTTTTATATAACTTGCTCCAGTGCTTTCCATGCCCAGCAGCCTCCTGTGATTCTTTTTATCCTCCCAGAACTCCTCTGGTCCTATTGCTAATTGATTAAAACTATGAAGTCTACTGCAAAGACAACAAGCCTTCTGATATCCTGCTCCTAGATGCCAGGGCCTCGTCAGACTCTTTTCTCATTCATCCAGGGCAATCTTTTCTCTTTTCACAGATTTCGTAGGTCTTATCCCTCTTATGTCCCTCAAACCACTTCTACCCAAAGCGTTTTAGTTAAGTGCCAGCTTATAGTTTCCATAACTCTGTAACAGACCTAGGTCCAGAAGGTAATGTCTTCCTCGGAATAGTATGGCTATTTCAAAGGAGATCCCTGGCAGAGTATGCGCAATGCAAGCGTGATCAAAAAGCCAAACTAGCAAAGTCAAACCTTACTGAAATCAAAGTTGAACAAACACAGGTCAGCCTTTTGGGGAAAACCATTAACTGTTCACTCTTCCATTGTAATGATTCAGCTGGGGGAGCTAGAGGGCAATTTGTTCATAGGTTAATTGTAGCAGGGACTTAAAGGAAGGGTGGGAGGCTGAAACCGCAAGCAGAGCTTTCTGACCTTATGTTAAACAACATGCACTGAATTTACTGTGTACATTCATAGTTAAAACTTTTTCTTTTTTTTACAACTGGATGACAAATTTTATAAATTGTTTCCTGTATTTTTAGCCAATGAATCACTCTGTTTCAAATCTGAGAGCAATTTTGTTGAAGAATTTCTGTAATGTTTTGCAAGTCCAAAATGTAATAGGTCAAAACATCTAAAGAACTTTGTGCAAGTCCTTCTGCAATAATCTATGACTACCCCAAACTGATGTGGGCAAGGTCTTGAAATTCAAAAGACTAGAAAACTGGTAGAAGATGGAAAGTTAGTGCTCCAAATAATAAACCTGAAGCATTGTATTTTGTATTTGTGCCCAGAGCTTGATTACAAGCTTCTGCATCTAAGTCATCGTTTAAAAATACTCCAAATACAAATAAATCAGCAGTCTAGAATACTTGACACCATTGACAGAAGTACTAGAACTAGAAAAGAAACTCTCAAAACACTACTCCTCTATTCAGCAATCAGAGATTGATTTAAAAGTGCCAGTGAGGGGCTGGGAAGACAACGATTTGCTAGTGTATCTCACGGCAGTGTATCTCATGGCTTCTCTCAACTCTTAAACCAGCCCAGGCCCCTGCAACACCCTGAACAACATTAAAATTCCCTAAAGTATGCCTGGATAAGTTATTTCCAGATGCTGGGATGACTGCAGCACAGGACTATTCCCAGCAACTCACTCTCTACTGAGGAAGCAGATAGGAACATGTGACATAAAAAAAATACAACAGCAGTTTTGTGTGATCAGAGGCTTCCTAATTGTGCATGAATACTTCATTAATTAGTAATGCCAGCTACTTTAGCGAAAAATAGCAACAAAGTGTTTTAACGTATTTATGTCTCTATTCACATCCATTTATTACAGAGGCCCCAACATTTGGAAAAACCCACTTCTGTTGCCCGTTGTCACCTCTACATTTCTATGACTCATCATTAGAGACTTATTACCTCAAAGATCCTTTTACGGAAAGAAATGTGAATTCAAGTATTTAAGAGAAGGATAGAAATAGCTATTTCTCAATTTGCCTGTCCCAGCAATGTAACATATCCCTGCACATTTTTCAAAGGAAATTACCCTATTCTACAAGATCAGAACCCAAACTTGTCACTGGCAAGAATCCAAGCAGAAGAACGAGGAGGTCACTGACTGAAAGACACAGTGTCGATAAAACCATTACGTCCAAAAGTTGCTGACAGCCTGAATGAGTTAGACAAGAGATAATTAAGTTCAGCTTTGCAATTGCAAGTTCCCTTGTGTATTTCTGTGACCGCTCAGCAGGATGGCAGAGGCTTAACAAACCTCAGATACTATCCTACTTCATTTACATCCCATGCACCACAGCCGCCTTTGGCTTCTTCATTGACCTCATTGACCTGTTTTACAATAGAGCACTTCTTTTCAGTATCTATTTAACTTCAGAAATACTGTAGACGTACCTTAGTGATGTAAAGATGTCTTCTAGCACTAAGGGAAACAAACTTCTTTTTTTTTGTTGCAAAAATCTCTT